GTCGATCAAAAGACCTATAAATGACCTACCTGTTTGTCTAATGACCTACTTGTTTGTCTAAAGACCTACCTGTTAATCTAATGACCTACCTGTTTATCTAATGACCTATCTGTTTATCTAATGACCTATCTGTTTATCTAATAACCTACCTGTTTATCGAATGACCTACCTGTTTATCTAATGACCTACCTGTTTATCTAATGACCAAACTTTTTATCTAATGACCTACCTGTTTATCTAATGACCTACCTGTTTATCTAATGATAACTGTCTATCTAATAACATACCTGTTGATCTAATGACCTACCTTTTTATTTAATGACCTACCTGTTTATCTAATGATATACCTGTTTATCAAACGACTTACCTGTTTGGCGAGTAAGGTCACTATTTCTTCTAACGCCATTATGTTTTTATTATTCTTGGCTTCCGCTGCTATTTCTTCTGCTGTGAGCGCTGCGGCGGCCTCAAGAACAGCCACCAACACCTTTTGAGATTTTCAGCAATGCCAAATTTGACAGTTTTCAATGTTTTGCACATCAATACTTTATCATATACAGAGTGTAAAGGACATTTTAATCGGACAAAGAAATCGGACAAATTTATAAACCTTTCGGCGTCTTACGTATTAACTGGTCTTTGCAACTTTGTGTGTTTGTGTGTTTGTCTGTGAACACGATAACTTGAGTACCGTGACACATAGGCTGAAGAAATTCTATATATAAATACTTAGAAGATCTGTATAAACTTTTCAGCCTATTTCAGCCTGCTTTTCTTTTTGGATTTGCTTCCACAGCCACTCTTCTAGGAGAGACAACTTCAAAATCAAACAACTGCTGCCTTGTAGTTTGTTCTTTAACGTTATTTTTTTTTTTCATTATCCACAAAGTCAATTTATTTAATTATTACATTTTCTCTAATGTATGGTTTTATATGTATAACAGTTACAAAAGTATTTTGGTCTTAATGAATGTTATATTCTTTATTTTTTTTAAAATTTACTTAAGATACAGTTTAAAACGAAGCAGTCTGTTAAAAGTGGTCGAAATTTCGCTCGGCAGTTACGATACATAGCGGACAAAGAAGAAAGCACAAGAGACAGACAAAAACACGTTTAAGTTAAATAAAAGCTTGTAAAAAGAAGCTTGCTTTTAGATAAAATAACAATGACCATTAAATGGCGAAAACTCACCAATAACACTTGACGCAAGACATTCATTATCAGCGCTTGATTGATAACATTCAAACTTCAATCAGACTAATAAGCTCAAATAACGCCTCACCGGCGTTATATCATTCAATCCCACACCATCTCTCTCTATATATATACCACTCTCTGTCAAACGACAAGAGCAAATGACACGAGCAAATTACACAATTAGTTGTCAAAAAGATAACGATTTTTTTTCTTAACCAGCTAAACCAACAGCTTCCATGTTGACCTTAATTAAACGACACACCTAAGGTTAACAATGGTGTAAGCGCGCATCTTGTTATCTTAGAGTAGTTCCATCATAAGTCGATGTTTTCAATTAATAGCAGGTGTAGTAATACATTCAAACCGAGCTGTTTTTAAAAGGTTTGTTGGTGGGGTCTGCCTTAAGGGTTTGGGGAATATATATATATATATATATATATATATATATATATATATATATATATATATATATATATACATACTAAAGATTGACATAGCATAAAAAGGAAATATATTTAAAACAAATAATACAAATACATAAAAACATAAAAATAAACATAACACGAGAAACCATTACACATACAAAGCTATCAAGCTTTATATTCTTTTGATAGGCTAAAGACTATAGAGTAGGCAGTATTCCATCAATCATAATGAATAAACTAGAACTAAATCAAAAAATATAAATAAATTCAAAACAGACTAATGCACTCACACACATGACATGTTGTAATTAGTTTAAATTGAAAAAAAAACCCTTTTATTTTTCCAATGATTTTATTCTGTGTTTATATATATATATATATATATATATATATATATATATATATATATATATATATATATATATATATATATATATAGGAGGGGGCCCAGAATTTTTTTTTGCGGGGTGGCCCTTTTTTTCTAGTTTCGCCACTGATATATATATATATATATATATATATATATATATATATATATATATATATATATATATATATATATATATATATATATATATATGTATATATATATATATATATATATATATATATATATATATATATATATATATATATATATATATATATATATTCGGCTGAGCATTAGTCTGACCACATTATAGCTTCATATGCTGAGAAGACAGATACGAGTGAACTCTACATCACCTGCCCCGTGTCCGATAGGCAATTTTATCATTCACATCTAAAAATAAACAGGGAGTAATCTCCCCTAAACTTTCTCGAATATTCTTATATGAAACAACAGGGGATGGCAACTCGGGATTTAGTCATGCATTTTGATCCATTTTCAACACTTAAACTTTATAAAAATAGAATAAACAATCGTAGAAAAAATAATTGCACACAATTGAACGCCAAATAAAATTTGCATAATAGTGCGGAATATTATTAGTACTTTATTTGAGAAATCGGAAAATTACTACTTCCGGTCAACAGAAATTACTCAAAATTTTTACCGAGGGCAGAGAATTAGTTCTTTTACGTACTTGTGAAATTTCATTTATTTATCTGAAATAGTACTCAAGTTATATGCTTTTTAAAAATTCAAAGTAAAAAAAGTTTCCACTTCGAAAATCGCCCAAAATGTGATACGGATCTACGATTTTGATATAATATTTGTATTTGAAATTTCATCAACCTAGCTGTAACGGTGCTCAAGTTATCGTTATGTCTACTAATTTGGTCAAAATTTAAATAATTCATAAAAAAATTAATCAGGCGACCAATTAAGTCAAATTGAATGTCATGATACATTGTCTTCATGTCTTGACCCACGAACCGAGTACGAACCGTATTTGTCACGTAGAAGTGCCTGCAACTTCGCTCGGCCGTTTCGATCTAGACAGACTGACGACACAGGAAGTGAGTTAAATAAAAGCTTGTAAAAAATATATAAACACTAATAGGCCTAGTACAGCAATTTTAATGGGAGCTCACAAGGATTTTTTTTTATTAACCTGGGGGCCCACCGATATTTTTTTTACCTGGGGGCCCACCAATATTTTTTTTTTACCTGGGGACCCACCGATATTTTTTTACCTGGGGACCCACCGATATTTTTTTTACTTGGGGGCTCACCGATATTTTTTTTACCTGGGGGCCCACCAATATTTTTTTTTACCTGGGGGCCCACCAAGATGCTTTTTACCTGGGGGCCAACCGATGTTTTTTTTACCTGGGGGCCAACCGACGTTTTTTTACCTGGGGACCCACCAATATTTTTTTTTACCTGGGGGCCCACCGATATTTTTTTTTACTTGGGGGCCCACCGATATTTTTTTACCTGGGGGCCCACCGATATTTTTTTTTTACTTGGGGGCCTACCGATATTTTTTTTTACCCGGGGACCCACCAATATTTTTTTACCTGGGGACCCACCGATATTTTTTTACCTGGGGGCCCACCGATATTTTTTTTTTACTTGGGGGCCTACCGATATTTTTTTTTACCCGGGGACCCACCAATATTTTTTTACCTGGGGACCCACCGATATTTTTTTACCTGGGGGCCCACCGATATTTGTTTTACTTGGGGGCCCACCGATATTTTTTTTTACCTGGGGGCCCACCAAGATGCTTTTTACCTGGGGGCCAACCGATGTTTTTTTACCTGGGGGCCAACCGATGTTTTTTTTTACTTGGGGGCCCACCGATATTTTTTTACCTGGGGGCCCACCGATATTTTTTTTACCTGGGGCCCCCCCAAGATGCTTTTTACCTGGGGGCCAACCGATGTTTTTTTACCTGGGGGCCAACCGATGTTTTTTTACCTGGGGACCCACCAATATTTTTTTTTACCTGGGGGCCCACCGATATTTTTTTTTACTTGGGGGCCCACCGATATTTTTTACCTGGGGGCCCACCGATTTTTTTTTACCTGGGGGCCCCCCAAGATGCTTTTTACCTGGGGGCCAACCGATGTTTTTTTACCTGGAGACCCACCAATATTTTTTTTTACCTGGGGGCCCACCGATATTTTTTTTACTTAGGGGCCCACCGATATTTTTTTTTACTTGGGGGCCCACCGATATTTTCCCCGTAGTCCGGCGGACCAGTCCACCACTACTAGAGAGAAACAAACTTTAAGCATTGATCGATGACATCGTGTGTTTTAGAGCTAGTGATGTCACTCGATGACATCGTGTGCTTTAGATCTAGACATATGTCCCCGGTCGCCGACCTTAGGGGGCGCCAAAATGGGTTGGAAAAATAAATTGAAATCTTGAGGGGGGGGGGGGGGGTGTAAATCGAAATCTTGAGGGGGGTGCAAATCAAAAGTTTGAGGGGGGAGGGGTGCAAATCAAAATCTTGAGCGGGATGCTCGAAAGTTTGATGGGTGGGTGCTAATCGAAATCTTGAGTGGGGGTGTAAATCGATAGTTTGTCCCCGGGCGCCGGGAAGGGTCGCTACGCCGCTGCATGCGTCCACCCAGCTCTGAATCGAGTTGTGAAAGTAAAGTTGGTTGAGCACAGTGCTGACCTCGCCATGTTTGTTTTTAATGGGCCATATTGCTACGCAGAGTGGCCACCCCTGCCTTTAAGAAAATATTACTTAGTTTTCTGTGGCGCCACCTACCGGCGCTTTCTTTAAGTCTCGCTCCGGTAGTTGCCAGCTAGCGTGTTTTTGTTTTTTCAAACCAAATGTGAATTTTTTTTTAAAGTTATGAAATCTACTTTCGCTTTTTGAATCAAAACAAACTCCGACGATGAGTTGTTTTATGTAAATTAATTTTAAAATAACACACACACACACACAAATATATTATATTTTATATAGATAGATCTAGAATACACATGTTTTTTGACGTAGGATTAGACCCTGTATAATAATATTTTTTTTATATAAAATATGAGATTTATACAAGATTTCAATCGTAAATCAAGCCTAAATTTAATTATGAAGTATAGCCTAGATCTAGAGCTAGAGTCTAGATTTCTAGATCTAGTTTCTTTTATTTTACAGTGTTGTTGATTGTAGACTTAAGAATTAGGAGTTAATTACTAAATTAGGCCTATTAAATAGGCTACTTACTTTAAGACAAGTAGACTAGCATATTTTCAATATCAATCAGTGCCGGTGCTTCACCCCCCAGAGGCGTAGCGACCCTTCCCGGGGACAAACTTTCAATATTTCAATTTTCGATTTGCACTCCCCCCCCCCCCCTCCCCCTCAAACTTTCGATTTGCGCCTCTTAAAAGACTATTTAACACTCGAATAATAGCCGCCATGTTTTTTGTTATCAATGGAAATCCCGTTCACAACAGTTGATTTAGTTCGAAAACTTTTATCTCTCCCTGGCTAACCAGCGGTAGGTGGTGCCACAGACAACTAAGTAAGGCAGGGGTGGCCACACTGCGTAGCAATATCGCCCATTATCTAACGGCTGGGAAAGAGTAGTGAGTTACAGAACGCTAATTAATAATTATAACTTACAGTACTCAATTACTTTGCTGTTTATTTTTAAAAATTAATTTTGCAGCTGATGTGACTGATCGAGAAACTGAAACAGTAGTAATGATGAGTGATGTCTCTTTTCTAGAGGCCATGACGTCTGACGAGTACAAGTGAAGCATCTCCAAGTTTCATATGCTACAAACAGCGTCTATGTTTTTTAATTCTCCTATACGCGAAGTATAGAGAAAGTCTTGTAATTGTGTAAAAAAAAATCGAGATTTTTGCAAATTTCGACGTTTAACACCTCACTGATACGGAAAAACATAATTTTGCTATCTTGTCCGTATGTCTGTGTGTATGTGTTTGTGTCTGTGTGTGTGTCTGTGTGTCTGTAAACACGATAACTTGAGTACCGTTACAGCTAGGTTGATGAAATTTCATATATAAGTATTTTATCAAAATCGTAGATCGGTATCAACATTTGGGCGATTTCCGATAATCGTAAGTGGTACTTTTTTTTACTTTGAATTTTTCAAAAGCCTATAACTAGAGTACTATTTCAGATAGATAAATGAAATTTCACAAGTAAAAGATCTAATTCTTTACCTTCTGTTAAATTTTGAGTAATTTCCGTTGACCAGAAGCACTAATTTACTCTATTTCCGATTTCTCAAAAAACTAATATAAATTTATAAAGTACTTATAATATTCCGCACTATTATGCACATTTTATTTGGCGTTCACCGGTGTGCATT